CATGGCATAACTGCTGGAGCCATTGTTTTGAGGCTGGCGAGGGAAAGGAGGTGAGGGTGTGGAGAGCAGATCCTGTTGTTGGGGTGTTACGATATCTGTTCGCTAACGTTCTGTGACTCCTGGGCTAAAACGACTCACTTTTTTCCTCTTCTATAGCGGTGAACATTCTCGTGGATTTTCAGGTTCTGATATGGAGTGCCCTAGGGGTGGCAAAGAGTGTAAATAAGGGGCAATTTTACGGAGGCCCAGCTTGCATTTGCTAGAAACGAACGTGGTATGTTTGCGTATGGGGTAGGAGCCAGGAAGATGGAGTGTCAGGGTAACACGGATGTTCTGGGCCACTGAGGGTTGCCAGGGTCACGGGGCTGATTCAGGCCCTGACCGGCCAGGGCAGAGCTCCTTAGGGCCTGGAAACTTCCAGAGTGTGGGCCTCATCCCCAGCACGTATGTGGGTGTGTTAAAGGACATCCCATCTAAGCAAAACCATCTACCTGTAACCTGATTTTTACGGTCTACAGCACCTGGAAAGGTGTGCAGCTACTTAAGAACCTCATGTTACCACATTTTGAGGCCAGAACAGGGTGCAAAATATTTCTCCCATTTCTTTTGGGTTCGTTTCAGGCCAAATTCAGGCAGCCTTAGAAAGGTATCTAGAAGTATCTTTTCCTTCAGTCTCCCATTCTTACCTTGCCCTTGTCCTGGGGAAGCCGCTTTTATCCTGCAGGTGCCCCCTACAGGTAAGCCCAGGTAGGTTCCATCCTGGTATTGTGACAGATTTCACAACTCTTCTTGTACGTCTCTGGGTCTTTAAATTCTTTCGAGAAGCACATTTACAAGACAGACTCTTCTGTTGCTACGATTAACCGGTTCTCGTAAACAGCCTTGGTCACTGTTTTGATAAAAGACCTCCACCCATCAGAGGTGAGGGTGGGGAAGGGCCGAGCAGGGAAAGGTGTGGAGAAACCCCTTCTGGTTCAGCCGCAGACACCCATAGGCCAGGACCCGGTGCAGCCTCAGGCACACTCAGCTGTTTGAGCCGGGAGGAGACTGAGGAGTTGAAGGATGCTTGAAGTGTGACCATGAGTGGCGGAGAGGCTTGCGGTGTTGAGTGGGCGCATACGCGGGGTCCGCTCCATGGGCAGTGGCGTGGGATCTGGGACTGCGTTGACACAGGCTCCCTCTGCCTTACCCGTTGGTGCACAAGGGCTTTCTTTTTAGATGCTGGCACCAGCCAAGCTCTTACCTAGAGTGAGTGTCCTTTCTGCCTTTTAAAATGCTTGGATTTTCTTTCTATGGATTTCTTTAATATGCGCATAGGCAGAGAACGCGTGTGTCATTTACATAATATCAACTGAAATTCAGAGCATCTTATGAGGTGTATAAATATGCCCAGAGGCTAAAAACACTGGGAACATCTAATAAATGTAATAAGTTATTTTTGCGGCAGCAAATATTATTTTAAATACAATTTCTGTTGAGTGAATATGAGGATTTATCAGTTAATATTTCTAAATCCACTGAAGCTGCCCTGATAAATAGATAATCTAAGTAGTTAGTTAGGCAGGCTGAAATGGAGTGGAGCTTGGTGCCATAAGACTCTCGTCTCTTGGCCTCCTTCCTCAGCATTCTTCAGGCAAACCCTGGCTCATTGGAAGCTTTGGCCTTCAAGACTTCAGGAGAAGGAGCGGAGCCGTATGTAAGCAGAAGGTGTGTGTCTTTTGAGATTTGTTTCAGGTTGGACATTCAGAAGGAAACATGGTCATCGATCTGACAGTCACGTGCAGGATGCTGTGAGGCGGCGTGTCATGGGCCCCGAGAGCACAGTCTGGAGCCGCTTCTCTGGCTTCACACCTGCTTCTGCTTCCTGCCAGCCGTGCGGCCTTGAGCAGGTCACTCAACCTCTGTGCATCCGTTTCAGTCCTCGATGGCTCGGATCTCTAGATGGCAATGTGCCAAATGGCATATTCCTTCTCTACCAAATACGTTGTTGGTTACGAGTGCTTACCGTGTGCGAAGTTGGTGAGCCATGCTCGCTTTATCGGTCAGTGTGCTCGCATGCGAGCTGCCGCTCCCCCCTGTGCCTGCTGCAGTAAGGTTTATGGACGCGTGAGGGGAGCTCCCATAATGGTAAAGAGCAGGAGGGCCACGTTAGGGCTGGGAAAAGGGTGGGAGGCAGGGGTGCCCCAGGGGCAGGCAGCAGGAGCCCACCCAGGTCGCCCCTGTCCTGGTCTGGCCCCCCGAGCTCCTCCCCCACTAGGATGCGTGTCTGACTGACCTCTGAAAGTTTCCTCCTGTCCTGCCCACTCCCAGCTCGCAGGCTTCAGAGCACCTGGACCGAGGGTATGTGGCTGCGTTTCTGGCTGGGCCCTTCCCGTTCCCCTCCCTGCCCTGCATCAGGAGTGGGTAAAAGATGTACTAAGCCCCTTGGTTTCCATTACGGGAGGTAGCAATGGAACGCGGTCACCGGGACCTGTTCTCATGCCAAGATTTACAGAAAATGGAGATTCATTCTACCATAGGAACATGTGCTGCTTGGAGTGGAAGAGTGTGGATTCCGGATAGTCAAAAACCCCACAGATATCTGCTCTCCTTGTGTCAGACTTCAAATTTCCTCGGTAACCTCGTGAGCCGGCCTGTGCCAGGCAGCGTCTCACAGCTGGCTCCCTGGCCCTGAGCAGTAGCATTTGCACATTTCCACGGTGGCCGATTTCAAGCTGCTCGCACGGCTTCCGAACGCAGCGGGGAAGAGATGCGCAGTAACATGCCATCGTGACACTGCAGCCTCACAGCTACGGCCGGTGCGAACGGCCTCAAGTGCCTAGAGGATAGTGAAATGCACAAACATGATTAGGAAATTATGAGTTTTGAGTATTTATTATTTGTTGTTAGCATAAATTATTCAATTGTCAGTTATATAATTTAATTTTTAATAATAACTTTTAACAAATGACTTGCAAAAATTTTGGGAAAAAAATATGAGCCAGCTCCAGCACACAATGATGTGAGAGAGAGAGAGAGAGAGAGAGACAGAGTCCTTACGCAGGACGATGCTTGGTGGAGAGGCCTGGGACCTGGGAGTTTTGCACAGTAGCCTGTGACACTGGGACTCTCAGTAACAGTAAACAATGGTGTCTGGCATTTCCCTGGCCAAACACATTCTTATTTGACATCCCTCTCATCTTCTGTCCTCACAGCAGACCCAAGGAAAGACAAGCAAAGTGTGCTACCAGAGAAGGGGCTGACAGGGCCGACGGGCCACAGGTAGGTGGGGCTGAGGGCAGGACCCGGCCCTGGAGATTTCCAGCCCACAGCGTTGTCTGCATCACCTGTTTCCTCGGACCCGCTGCCATCCCTGGAGCTGCCATTTCTTAAAGTCAGCCCAGGAAATAACCCAAAATGCAGCCTAGGGCCTAGGCTGTATCTTCACAAATAAAGAATGAAATAAAGCTGGAGGCCCGCAGAGTGCGCGGTGAGAACCTGTTGTATTGGCGGCTTTGATGGCCAGAGTCCAGGATGATCCCCGGGGCTCCCCCCCTTGTGTCCCTGTCCTTGGACTCCTGTGTGACTAACAGGATATTGCAGAAGGGATGGCGTGTGACTTCTAAAGCTGGCCATAAAGCTGCAGCTTCTGCCTGGTTCTCGTGGGTGACCTTGCTGGGGGGCGGGGTCAGGGGAGCCAACACGGTGCTGTGAGGACACCCAATATCCAGCACTGCTTGCCAGCCCTGGAAGCGGGTCCCCCAGCTCCAGAGGACTGCGGCCTGGCCGACATCGGACTGTCAGCTCATGGGCAACCCTAAGCCAGAATCACCCAGCTCAGGGCTCCCAAATTCCTGACCCAAAGAAGCTGTGAGAGAGGCCCGATGTTTGTGTTGTTTTAAGCCACTAAGTTTTGGGGTGATTTGTTATGCAGTAGATAAACTACTCCTTTTAAAGCCACACCCTGCGGGCTGTGGGTGACCTTCATTAAATGCAGAGGGCTGTCGGGGACTTAAGAGCACTTTAAGGAAATCGTTTTGTTTTCGCTTTCCGCCAAAGAAGCTGAATTTCAAGACGCGATTTACTGTCGCTTGTCCGAATGACCTGTGGTCCGCAGGAGCGGGCACTGTGGGCGGAGGCCACCTGCAGCCTGAGGAGCAGGGCGGCTTCAGCTGGGATGCGCCCAGGCGCAGGTGAGTCAGGCCCTTACACCCGCCTTCACGGGCACTTTTCATTCATCTCGGTCTCTGGGAAATGGTATTCTCTGCCCCTCGGGAAAGCCAGGACGGGGAAAATAATGAACGAAATTACTTATGAAGAAAAGGGGCTGGGGCCCCTGCTGGAGTTGGGGGTGGAAATCTTAAAACCACTTGCAGAACGCCAGCCCCCACGCCCCCTGGGGGGGTTGAGCCGCGACCTCTTCTCCCGGTGTCCCCGCCCGCTGAAGTTCGTGCCTAGAAAAGTCGGCTTCCCGACGACCGCGGAACGCGTCTCGGCGGAGCGGGAGGCTCTCGTGCCTGCTGGTGGAGCGGGGCGGGATCACGTCGGCTCCGTGGCGTCTCCCTCGAGCCGCGGGAGGCCGGGCGCGGACCCCGCAGGAGGCGCTGGGGCGGGCGCCCTCGCGAGCCGGAGAGCGAGGCGGGAGCGCAGGTGGCCGGGCCCGCTCGCCGCAGCATGGAGTGGGAGCTCAACTTCCTGCTCTACCTGGCGCTCTTCTTCTTCCTGCTCTTCCTACTTTTCCTCCTGCTCTTCGTGGTCATCAAGCAGCTCAAGAACTCCGTGGCCAGCACGGCCGGGGCGCTGCAGCCCGGCCGCCCCTCGCTGCACCGGGAGCCCTGGGGCTT